TGATCAGGTCACCAGAATCGTGGCGACATGGTACAAGATGGGCCAGGATGGAGACTTTCCGCTGCCCAACTTCTCGAGCAACACACAAGATGCGACGGGACCTTTGTACCCGGGTGCTCTTTTCTCTCCGTCCGGCGTTGTCAACCAGTATGTCAACGTGCAGGCCGATCACAACATCACTGCCAGAGCAATCGCGAGAGATGCCATCACTTTGCTAAAGAATGATGACAATATCCTCCCTTTGAAGAGGAACGACTCTCTAAAGGTTTTTGGAACAGACGCCGGGCCTAACCCGGACGGTCTCAACTCCTGCGCTGATATGGGATGCAACAAAGGAGTGTTGACCATGGGCTGGGGCAGTGGCACATCCAGGCTTCCGTACTTGGTCACACCGCAGGAAGCCATTGCCAACATCTCGTCCAATGCTGCCTTCTTTATCACCGACAATTTTCCCTCTAACGTTGCGGTAAGCTCAGGCGATGTCGCCGTGGTGTTCATCAGCGCCGACTCTGGAGAGAACTATATCACCGTCGAAGGCAATCCAGGGGATCGGACCTCGGCGGGGCTAAACGCATGGCACAACGGTGACAAGCTTGTCAAAGACGCAGCGGCAAAGTTCTCCAAAGTCGTCGTGGTCGTCCACACTGTGGGCCCTATCCTTATGGAGGAATGGATCGACCTGCCGTCGGTAAAAGCCGTCCTAGTCGCTCACCTCCCCGGGCAGGAAGCCGGCTGGTCCCTGACGGACGTCCTCTTCGGCGACTACAGCCCCAGCGGCCATCTCCCGTACACGATCCCACGCGCCGAATCAGACTACCCGTCCAGCGTGGGTCTCCTCTCGCAGCCTATCGTCCAGATCCAAGACACCCACACCGAGGGCCTGTACATCGACTACCGCCACTTCCTCAAATCCAGCATCACCCCGCGCTATCCCTTCGGCCACGGGCTGTCCTACACCACCTTCAGCTTCTCCCAGCCCACGCTGTCCGTCCGCACCGCACTCGACAGCGCCTACCCGCCGACTCGGCCCCCCAAAGGCCCAACCCCAACCTACCCCACCACCATCCCCAACCCCTCCGAGGTAGCCTGGCCCAAGAACTTCGACCGCATCTGGCGCTACCTCTATCCATACCTCGACGACCCCGCCGGCGCCGCAAAGAACTCCAGCAAGACATATCCCTACCCAGCAGGGTACACGACCGTCCCCAAGCCTGCCCCGCGCGCCGGCGGCGCAGAAGGAGGCAACCCGGCCCTCTTCGACGTGGCCTTCGCTGTCAGCGTCACAGTCACAAACACGGGCACCCGGCCCGGCCGCGCCGTCGCGCAACTCTACGTCGAACTACCAGATAGTCTGGGCGAGACGCCATCTCGCCAGCTGCGGCAGTTCGCGAAGACGAAGACTCTAGCCCCCGGGGCCAGCGAGACCTTGACCATGGAGTTCACCCGCAAGGATATCAGTGTTTGGGATGTGGTGGTGCAGGACTGGAAGGCGCCTGTTCGGGGTGAAGGAGTGAAAATCTGGCTTGGGGAGAGTGTGTTGGATATGCGGGCTGTGTGTGAGGTTGGAGGTGCTTGCAGGGTTATATAATCTTAGTTTCCTCTATATACCTGGCCCTTGAATCCTGGACGTCTGTTTTTATAGTATGTACTGCATAATCTGCACAAGGCGATGTGATGTAGTTGCTGACTAATGCACAACTATACTTTCCCTCGCCGCTTCTCCGTCTCCAGCTTCCGGCCACCTTCTCCGACTACGGTATTATCCATCAAGGACAACCACCGGTCGATCTTCAGTCCCTCGACCGAGCCTGTCCTGGCTGGCAACCTATTCTGAAATGTGATATACGTCTCGTCCTAACGGATACAACCCAAAATGCAGGGCTTCAGTGAGTACTCGTTCCTACTACCCCGTCATCACGCGGGGCATAACTAACAGTCATTATAGATATGGGACGGTCCGTCGCCTGCCCTAGCTACCTAACTTCCCGCGGGATCTATAACTAACTACTGATAACAGCTACGTCCCCCCGGACCAAGAGGGCCTCACAACAGGCAACAAACTAGCCGGCAAGCACCCACTAGGCGCGCGCGCGCGCCACCTCCGCTCAAGCGGCGCTTTGATCGTACGCTTCGAGATGCCCTTCGCGGTGTGGTGCACGACGTGCAAGCCGCACGAGACGCTCATCGGGCAAGGGGTGCGGTTCAACGCCGAAAAAAAGAAAGTCGGGAACTACTACTCGACGCCGGTGTATAGTTTTCGGATGAAGCATGGGGCGTGCGGGGGTTGGATTGAGATTCGGACGGATCCGGCGAATACGGCGTATGTTGTCGTTGAAGGGGGGAGGAAGCGGGATACCGGGGATGCAGGCGGGATAGGGGAGATTGCGGTGGGGGAGGATAGGAAGGTGAAGGAGGATGCGTTTGCGAGGTTGGAGGGAAAGGTGGAGGATAAGCGGCGGGCGGAGACGGAGAGGTCGCGGATTGAGGATTTGCAGAGGCGACAGAATAAAGACTGGGAGGATCCGTATGAGAGGTCGAGACGGTTGCGGAGGACGTTCCGGGTGGAGCGGAAGGCGCGCGAGGGGGTGGAGGCGAAGGCCGAGGCGCTGAGGGATAAGATGAGCTTGGGAATTGAGCTGGTGGAGGAGACCGAGGAGGATAGCCTGCGGGCGGGCATGGTGGATTTCGGGCGAGGGGATGACACAACCCAAATCACGCGTCGCCGGCCGTTGTTCGACTCGCGGAATGGGAAACGAGATGTCGCAAATACGCTGGCTGATCGCAAGGCGCTGTTTCGCAGTGAGTTGACGGGGAATACGCGGGCTGCGGTCGATCCATTTCTCAACCAGGATGGGAGTGCATGGCGGCCAGAGGTCAAGAGGAGAAAGACGGCATCCACCAAGGGCGTGGATGCCGCTGATGATGGACCACCCGCAGTTGAAGCCCCTGTCGAGCCTGATAGACCGGTTGCACCGCCCGCGTTGGTCAACTATGCGTCTGACAGTGACTAAGTGACGACCGAAGATGATTCTTTCTGTATTTCTACGGCGTTTGCTTCATGATACCCGGCGGAGTTCGCCTCAGATACATGGTTTGGACTTGCTTCAGAGTTGACGGATTTCATTTCTGATAAAGGTAAAGGGTATAGAACAAGAGAGAAGATTACGTATTTTGATTTGCGGTAGTAATTACTTCGCCCAGGGAGCTTTGGTGGGCACATGGGTCGGATCACCGCCGGGTGCCTGCCCGGCTGATGATGCTGCCCACGGAGCTCTGGTAGGGGCCATAGGCCCAGGAGGTAGTCGTGACGTATCGGGAAGGGCAGTAGGTGGTTCTCCGGGCGGGCATCCGTCTCTCCTTGCTGCCCATGGCGCGGCGGTCCCTGCTCCTACCGGCGGGGCTGCCTGAGTAGCAGTTGCCCAGGGAGCCGTGGTCCCGGACGGCGGCATCTGTCCCGCAGATGGGACCGCCGGGCCCCTAGACTGAGACTGGGCGGTAGATGTATGAGCGGACGTCGGGGGCGGAACGGCGTTGGGATCGCGGTCCCAGCTGAAGAGGGAGCCAAAAGGGAAGTGCTGCACTACGGGGAACTTGGATAGTACTTCCGCGTTGTACATTTTGATCATACCCTGAGTAATCAGCAACTGGTCATTTCGAGCAAGCGCAACAAGACTAACCTTATTGATTTTCCCCCAACCAGCCTGAATGCCAGAAATGTCGTAGAGCATAGGGCTGTGTTCCCAAAATGGTCCTTTCTTGACGTCGTAAATGAAGCCAATCGCGGAGAAATACATATTTGTCAACCTTTCTCGTTCGACAATATGTGCTTTGGTAACCCCATTGGGCGATGGAGCACCTGGAAGCGAGCCTTCTTCAGGAGTTGGATCTGTTTCTGAAATAGCTGGCGCCAGTTGCGCAGACCCCAGAATGTACGGGATGAAGGAATGGTCGTCCAGTCCCCAAACGCCATGAGACCCTGCCGGTTCGAGCGTGTACCGCTTGATAATGGTTCGCACTAGCTCTAGATACCTGCAAGAAGTCAGCAATTGCAGTCATCACACTCGGGCCGTACCTACGGCTGTATGACCCCCAAGACGATAGCCCTCTCCTCCACGCCCGGCGTCGTCTTCGGAAACCCATTCAGCTTCCATATCCCAGCCAGGAACGCCAGAAAGCTCAGCTCATGCCCAGTCCCATAATCCAGCCTCTGCGGACTCCCCCAGCTGCCTAAAAAGTACGCTTTGAGTTCCGCCTCCGCGGTCACACCGTTGGAATCCGACGATTTAGCCTGCAGCAGCTCGGACGACAAACACTCGCCCAGTAGCTCCGAGGCTCGGCTCTCCACGAGCTCGTACCACCTGCGGAAACTAATATTCCCAAACCTCCGCGGGCCGGTATCAGGCGGCGCCTCTTCTAGAAACTCCTCCAGTTTTGTCAGGAGCTGCTGGAGCTGCCGTACCGGCGCGGAGAACTCGACGGCGTCTGTGTTGATCGGCCAGGATTGTACAGTGCCGTCGGCAAGTTTGACGGGGATCATGGCCCGGTTGAGCTGCAGGAGGAAGGTCATGATATCGACGTAGGCTTTGGAGACGAGGAACTCTGATACATCTTGAGATTCGTGGATTCGCTTGCTGGGGGTGATGAAGGTGTGCCCCGCAGAGGGGTCGATGGTTGGAAGAAACCGGAGGGGGAAACTGTTCGCCATGATTATTTTAGCTATGAAATTATGTCGGGAGTAATTTTAGAGGCCGGTATTAAATATGGATAAAAAGAGGAGTTTGGATGGTTGAAGGTGGTGTTGTGGAGGACAGTACTGTATGTAGGTCGATCGTATGGCGATGACGCTGATCTGTCGGACGACACTAGACCTCCGCAAAACAGACGGATCAACTGTCAACACGGATGACATCCACCACCAACAAGCATCTCTACGCTGACTACCCGAAGTAATATCCTAATACAACTCTCATCCTAGTGCAATTAGTTAATGGCCGTCCTCTATGAGTTCCTCGCGAAAGAACAAACGTGATTTGACCTCGCGGACCGTTGATTTCCTCAACCGCGTCAACAGCGTCAAGGACAACACCGACGCGGACGCCCAATCCAGAAGCAAACCGCGCGTTCGGCGTTTAGCATCGCAGCCTATCAATCGATTTGGTAGCAGGACGCCGCAAGTTCCGCAGGGCGATGCTATTTGGGATATTCCGTCGGACTTTTCGGAGGAGGAGACACGACCAAGACGCAATGCACAGACCGAGCCCCGTTCTCTGAGACGATCCCAACGAGCTCGAAAGTTGGTTCAGGTGGAGGATACTCCGACCCGGACATTGCGGAGATTGGCGCGTGTCATTGAGGATAGGCACGAGCAAAGTAGCGAGGAAGATGATTCTGAAATGGAGGAATTGGATAAAATCATTGATAAGCAGTTAGGTGGCGCGAACCTCATCCAGTCGGTGAACAAGAACAGAAGCACAGACGTGAACCATGGATCTATCAGTGAAGAAAGGGGAGCACAAGAAGGTGAAAGCAACCGGGCTTCTGAGGACCCTGTGGAGTCGACGTCACCTTCGAAAAAGCTCGGAATTCAGAAATCTAAGACGACGGACGCGCAGGAAGCCCAAGAGGACGACCCGGAATGGGCGCCCGATACAGCAGCAAGTGAAGAGTTGGGAGAAGAAGACGATGAGAGAGGCTCGGACACTAACAGGCCGCCAGAGTCTACACATATCATCCAGACTCGAAGATTGACTCAGGAGCTGACCTCGCCGCGAACGACACGGAGACATACCCTTGCGCCTCCAGTAGCTCAGAAAGAGGTTGACGAATCCTCAAGAAAGCCGAACAGAAGGTCGCTGCCGGTGCAAAGTGGTTCAAGAAAGGAAGCGAGTACTCGAGACAAGCAAGGGGACAGAACGGCAGAGCTATCAGAGGTATCTGAATCTGTGCAAGATGAGTCTGAATCAGAAAGCTCCTATGAACCGGACGCAGAGGAAGAGGAAGAGGAAGAGGAAGAGGAAGAGGAAGAAGAAGAAGAAGAAGAAGCAGAAGCAGGGGCGAGTCGAAATTTACCCGACACGCAGCCGGAGGAATCGTCTATCACCGCGAGACCAAGCAAGAGACGCCGAACTGGTGAGTATCAGCGCAACCCCCAAGTCGAGGTTTTACGCACACAGCCAACGCCGCTGCTAGTGCATTCATATCGATCGACTCCTGATGACAATGAGAGCCACACAAGCTCGCGTCAACCTTCGCAAAGTCCTGCTGTTGTCGCAAGGCCCAACACTGTGATCTCGGATGATGCACAAAACGAAGCTCTGGTGAGAAGGGTCAGAGACAATGCGGGGGATAAAGCCTGGTTTGCGGAGGCTTCCAACCTTGGACAACAAAAAGAGAACTGGGATATTATAGTGACGGCAGCATCGGAGTTGAGACAAAATATAGACCCCTCTCGAGCCGAGTCCTTCGGCACAATCGACAAACAATTATCTCAGCTACGTACACGATATAGAAAGATCAACAAGAAACTCAAATCTCAACAGGGGCCTCTCCGAGAGAATCTGCGTGAGTGCGACGACCTTCGCGAGGCCATCTTGGATGAAGGGACCAGGATCCTTGACAGCGTCTACTATCTGTCTCTCAGACAGGCAGAGTCGCATGAGCTGCTGAAACAGGCGCATCGGCTTGTTAAGCAGTTTGAAGCCCGGGTCTTTTCCACGATGATCAAAGTGATCCTTCTTTGCTTTGAAGGGTACTACACCAACCGGAAACTCTTTCCGTCGGCTTATAGACATCTTGCCGGGGCGATGAAGCTCCTTCTACGATTCTGCGACCGGATTGCCAGCCTGCGCACCGAGCGATATATACGGTGCAAGGTACACAGTCGAACCATCCGCAAGCCGCTTCAAGAGCTGATCAAGGCGGTGGAAGGCAACTTGCTACAACGACGCCTGAATGAGACTGACGGGGCCTCCAGAGGCGAGAAGAAGAGGGAATGGACTGAGGATGAGAAGATTGCTCTGCTCGATGGATTGAAGCTGTTCCTGGGTGAGTTGCTGTTCCTGATATTTTCAGCGCCAGTATCATCATCAATGCTGATCCAGGCTGCGGTGTCTTAGGTCAGGACCGCTACATTCGCATGGTCTGCCATTTTGGACAGAGACTGCGACACCGAAGTCTACAGGAGCTTCAGACGAAAGCTCGAGAGATTCATGACCGGTTTATCCCTCGGATCCAGGAGGAGCTCAGGACGGTAGAAGGGCGTCGACAGTGGCAATGGTTATTGAGTGTGAATGACGGTCAGCGTCCGGTGTCTGTGGATTGACAATGATTATTCTCTTGTCTTGTCTTGTCGTTTTGCCTTTCGATACCCCCTTTTTGTTATGTAGATATAGTTTCAACTCTCTCGGACCCATGGATCATCCAAGTCAACCGATCCACAGATTGTTTGTTTTGTTTTGGTGCGGTCGGGCGCGTAGCAACACACAGGGCAGATGTTTCGACACGACCATGATGCTATACAAGAGACAGAACAATCATATAGGAACAAATACTACTAATGATATAATTTCATCAGCTGAAAGCAATCATCTCATCATCATTTACTGTATCTAGATAGACAAAGGTCCATCTGCTGATCGTCGTTCGTGAGTCTCCGCCTTTTTCCCCCACTCCTCCTGCTAAAATCAATAGTCGGCAAAAGGAAGGGAACTTTCGACTCTCCTCTCTCCTACATCTGTCGTCTGGCTCTCTCTCATCCATTAATTGTCGCATGTCTCACCTGTCTGCTTCTCCTTTCCTGTCATAAAATTCTTTATACCCTCTTTAATCTTGCAATTCTTCTTCGTTAATTCTTCTCTGTCTGTCTGTTTCTTTGTTTTGGCCGGGTTGTGTTGTTGGCCAATCATACCCCCTACTGCCGACACCGTTCACCTCCAATTCTCTATCTACTAAGTAGAAGCTAAGGTACCTAAACGGCTTCATCCCTCTAGTTGGGCACTTGATCCCGTTTTCATCCCGCATTGGTCCGGAGAATCGTCAATCAGTGAGTTGTCATCTCCTTTCCTTTATGGCTGCCCTATAGGACCCCCCCCCCTCCCCGGATAGGGGGCCACACGTCCACCTCGCATCGCAGCTGCCTCTACCTGCAGATCTCTTCGGGAAGCAATTCGCTAGCTGTGGTGAGGTGTCATTAGCTGATTGCTGCGTTGTCTGTCTCTGGTGTCTGTCTGCAAAGCATCAATCACTTCTGCACTGATGATCTTGCATGGATTCCCATAAATCGGTTGCTACTCTAGTATCTCTCAGAGCTAACAGACTTGCTTCTAGGTACGGTCCCAGGCCTACCAACATCCATAATGGCTTCCACAGAAGAACCTGTCCCTGCTCCTGCCCCTGCGCCCGCTGATGCGCCCCCTTCGGCCGAGGTTGACGCTGAAATGGCACCCCCTGCTACTCCCGTCGACTCTACCATCCTGTCCGGCAGCGAGGGACCCGTTAGAAGCCCCGATGCTTCTATCAGAGACAAGGAGAATATCAAGTCTTCGCCCGAAAAGACCACTACAACCACAAAGCGTCCGTTGTCTGGAACGGCAGCTGCCAAACGTCCGAGCTCTGTTTCCGGCGCTACCAAGACCGCAGCGTCCACCGCGCGAGCTGCGGCCAACGGCAGTACGCTCAGCAAGCCCCCAACTCGTCCTACCACCTCCGGTACTGTCCGTAAACCGCTGAGCACTTCGACAACCGCCTCCCACCGGTCTCGCCCCTCGGTGAGCAGCTCCGCGGATGAGAAGACGAGGTCGGTCGCGAGCTCTGGCGACGAAAGGAGAGGAATCTCGGGCTCGGCCAAGCGCATGTCCTTGGTCGGCACTACTTCCTCTAGGGCTCCACCGAAGACTACTACGTCCACTTTGGATCGTCGCTCGAGCATTGCCGGCACCACCGCATCACGGAGCACCGCTACGCGTCCTGGTACCGCTTCATCCACTAAACCTGCCACAAAACCAACTGGCGTGTCCAGCACTTCTCGTACATCCAACAGCACGAGCACGACCGCGGCCCGACCTGCAACCCGACCCACGGCTACGGCTACACGCCCTACTACGACGGCCTCGAAACGACTGAGCACCGCCATCAAGGTTTCCGACGATGAGGCGGAGAAACTGCAGTCGCTGCAAAACAAGCTGTCCGAAAGTGAGGCGACTGTCGCCAGTCTCAAGGCGGAGCTGGAGACCGTGAACGAGAAGCTTTCTCAGCTGTCGGTGTCTCAGGAGGGAGCGCCCAAAGAAAACGACGATGAAGTCGCCAGCGCCCTGCGGGAGGAACACGCTGCCGAGACGGCAAAGCTGGCCGCTGAACATGCCGAGCAACTCCAAGCTCTGCAGGCTCAATTGGACGAGGCAGAGACCAAGCGCAAGGAGCTGGAAGAAAAGTCCCTGCAGGACCTGGACAATGCCGCCAAAGCAGCCGCTCAGGACGGGGACGACAAGACTAGAGCGGCACTTGAGGAGTTGAAGCAGTCCCACCAGTCTCAGCTTGAGGCGCTGGAGAAGGAACTCGCTGAACAAAAAGCCATTGCGGCCGGTTACGCTGACCAGATTGCCGCCCTCCAGGCCCAACTCGAATCGCAAAAGAATGGGCTTGAGGAAGCCACTCAGAAGTTACAGGAGGAGAAGGCATTGGCGCTCGACAGCTTGGACCGGGAGCTCAAGGGGCGCGACCAGGTGATTGAGAACCTCAACATGGAGATGGAGAAACTGAACAGCGCCAAAGAACAGGAGGTTCGTGCGGCTGAAGAGTCCGCCAAGCAATCCGTCTCCGCGCTGGACGAGAAGGTCGCCGATCTAGAGGCCAAACTTGCCCAAGCTGAATCTACCACGAGCCAAAGCAGTGAGGAGACTAATCTTCGGCTTGCCGAGAAGGACAAGGAAGTTGCTGAGCTCAAGCAAGCTGTTGCAAAGTTGCAGGAAGAGCTTCAGGAGGCTCGCGAGGCTGCTGCCAAGGAATTGAATGAGAAGATTGCTGAATTAGAGGCCACTCACGAGGCCGCGGTCGCCAAGCTCAAGGCTGAACACGAGGAGGCTCTGGCCTCGGCCGCTGCTGCTCAGGCCCAGGAATTGGCTGTAGCGAAGCAGGCGGCTGAATCTGCCGGTTCCATGCGCTCTGAGGAGCTTCAGAAGCTGCGCGAGGAATTGGATGCTGCCGAAGCCGCAGCGCAAAAAGGCAGGGAAGAAGCCATCGGTGAGCTCAACGCGGCACATCAAGCCGAATTGAAAGCCCTTCAGGACAAGCTGAACGCATCGGAGCAGGCGCTGGGTGAAGCTCGGCAAGCGCTGGAGGCTAGCGTCAGCTCAGCCCAGGCCGTTGCCGTCCAAGAGATCGAGTCGCTCAAGGAGAAGGTCGGCGCGTTGGAGTCGCAGCTGTCGACCGGACAGGGCGAGATCCAGTCTCTGGTTGAGGAGGTCCAGAGCAAACAGGCAGAAGCCGAAGCCTTGCACCAGAACCTCACTGATTTTGAAACCAAGCTCAAGGCCAAGGACGCCGAGAAGGATGAGCAGCTGAGGGATCTGAAAGAGAAGGCGGCTTCCTCGGAGAAGGCTCTTGAGGAGCAACTCAAGGAGGCGGTTGCCGTTGCCGAGAGACACGCACAAGCTTTGGAGGCGTTGAAGGCGGAGCACGCTGCGGCGCTCGAAAAGGCGAAGAGCGAGGCGGCTGGGTCTCATGAGAGTGTGCTGAGCGCGCTCCAGGCTAAGCATGATGAGCTGCTTGCAGCGAACCAGGATCTGGAAACGTCTCACGCTGAAAAGGTTGCAAAGCTAGAGGCGGAGCTGAAGAGCACGTTGGAACGCCATGCTGGCGAGATCAGCTCGCAGACGGAGCTGCGCGAGAAGGAAATTGCGGATCTCCGGAAGGACTTTGAAGAGACCAAGGCCAAGCTCCTTGCGGAACTCGAGGCATCACAGGCATCCAAAGCTGCCGAAGCTGATGCCGAGCACAGCAAGGCGATTGAACAGCTGCTCACTCTCCAGGAAGAGAAGCTGTCCAGCCTCCGGTCCGAACTCGAATCCTCCCACAAGGCCAAGTTGGATGAGCTGCAAAAGTTGCATGACACCACCCTCGCGGAGGTCCAGGAGCAGCTTGAGCAAGCCCGTGCTGCGTTGCAGGACACCTCTCTGATCGATGGTCTGAGGGCGACGGTGGCCGATCTCGAGCAGAAGCTGATGGACGCGGACAAGGCCGTGGCTTCCAAGGAAGCGCTGGCGAGCCAGCACAGCACCGCGCTGACCCAGTTGGAAGCGGAGAAGAAGGAGTTGGAGGCCCGCTATGCGGCGGCGACCAGCCAAGTGGACGAGTTGACCAAGTCGGCTGCTGCGTCCGAGAGCATCAAGACGGAGCTGGAGCGGGTCCTGAACCAGCTGTCTGCGTCGCAGGAGGAACTGTCGCAGCTGCAGGCCAGCCACGAAGCGGTCAGCGGCGAGCTGGAGCAGTTCAAGTCGCAGACGCGGACGATGGAGGAAAAGCTGTCGCAGGGCGAGAAGGACCTGAACGACCAGATCGAGCGCAACATGTCGCTGCTGAACCAACTGGGCGAGGTGGACTCGGCCATTTCGGCCAACCGCAAGCGCGTGCGTGAACTGGAGGCCGAACTGGCAGCGCTCAAGGCGGACAGGGACAGCGGCAAAGGCAGCGTGGGCTTGGAAGGAAGCCGCTGGGCGGCGGAAGATGGGGCGAACACGAACAAAAGTGAAGAGAGTGGTCCGACAGCCGCTGCGGAAGGTGAGGACCTTGGATCATCCATAGAGGGAACGGTGGGAGACCCGTTGTTTACTCGGGGCATCCACCCGGGGTGTCCGTTCCCAGTATTTGACGTGATACTAATGCGGTGGACCTAGATGGCAAGCATTCAGGAACAGCTTAAACATATACGGACGGCCAACGATGACTGGTACGACGAACACCGCAGGTATGCCCCCCCCCCCCCCCCTCACTTTAGCTAGGAAGACATTGATCTAATGTTGTCTAGACTCATTGGCGAGCTCACTCAGCTATCGCGACGCACAACGCCGGACCGTCGGAGCCAGGCGTCGACGCCTCAGCTGGAACGACTGAGCAGCTTTGAGAGCCGCAGTGGGGAGCGATCGTCCTGAGTGCGCGAGAGGACGGAAGAGTGATTTCGGAAGGACTATTTCCTTTGTATTGATTGGTTGTATGTATGTATGTAATACGATGCTCAGGATACCCTGTTCATACTTGATGCGTCCAGATGAAGAGAAGTCTAGTGTCTAAATTTATTATCATTATGGTTCTACTGCGCAAGATGATTCGGCGGATTGGGTATCATGATAAGCAATGTAAGCCAACGTAAGCCAATGTCGAGAGTCAACTGCTGAACTGAACGAATGCCTGAGCCACCACCAAACTCAAATAATCGGATCAATGAGACTCGCGTTGACGAATCCAAGTGAACCACGACCACAACCGGCGTTCCCGGAGCCGTTTCCTGGCCTGTTTCTTGTCGCTGGCCACGCGACGCATCTCAGCGTACAGCGACGGCGTGAGGATATGAGGCGGCGGCGATAGCCCCAGTTCTAGTTCTAGTTCTAGTTCGGTGTCGGGTGAGGGTACAGCTTTGGATGATGGTTCGTCAAGGACACCTCCCTCATCCTCCTCATCCTCCTCGGGATGTCCATGTCCATGTCCACGTCCATGGACAGAATCCTCCGAAATCATCGTCAGATCCGCCTCCCCGTCCATCATCCACGTCCTGCGTTTCTGGTGGTAGAGGTGCTCGCCCGCAGACGTGAAAGCGCGACAATACGCCGCATAGGATTCGGAGAGATTGCGCTCGGCCTCGTATTCTTTTATCTTGCGGTCGTGTTCATGTTCACGTTCACGGTTGAGGCTAAGGTCGGACGTGACTTTTTGGGCGTCATAGTCGGTGTAGTTTTCATCGTGAGTCAGAGTGTGATGAGTGTTATCGTACGTGGCGTTTAATCCCTGCTTGGAGATACGGCGGGAGAGCCAGACTGATAAGCGGCGGAGAGGGAGGGATTTGCGTCTGGTGAGGGTTGTTTGGTGTTGGTGGTTGGTGTAGAGGAGGAGAGAGGAGGCTGTTGAGGAGGTGATGGATGAGGTGTCTGGGAGGAGGATTTCGGGCATTTTCCTTTCTCTCTCTTTGACCTGGTGAGAGTGTGGTGGTATAGTATAGAGTATATACCTATAGACGGGGCATCTATATATAGTTGCCTAGTAGGACTGTAGGATAGGAATGAGATGAGAATGAGAGAGCCCAAGGTGAGTCGACAATAGGAATGTACGCTGATATTAACTCATCCCATGTCTATACAATATATTAATTTGAAGGAAGTGAACCGAGGGGATATAGATGGGAGCACATGCTATCTATATAGTGGAGTGGTACGGGGGTCCGGAGTACAGGGGACGGATATAGCTGCATGAACTCCTAACCGTCAACCTACAGCCGAGTGAGGACAGTGGCTTGTGTAGCGCCTTGGAGGAATGAACCACGGACCGTTGAACATAGTTTCTGGGCATTAGCATTAGCAGCTAGTGGGATCTTTTCCAGGAAGATGGTGGATCCGGTCGTGTGAGACCGGAGACGGAGCGATAAAACCTGTCCAGTCGCTGTTGAGTACTAATCTCGCTATTTAGGTCACAGGATCAGGGTTACACTGCAGCTGCTTCCTCACTTTGTATTTCTTGAGTGATTATCGTTTAATAGGTATAACTTACGTAGTGTGTTTGGCTATGTATGTACTGGTACATGTACAGGTATTTAGTACTCCGTAGACTATGTCTATCCAGATACACCGTCTCTTCCCAATCCCCATCTACCCACCTCCCGCATCGCCTCATCTCCTCCCTCGACCAGCCGTCCGTCTGCATTCGACTCATTCGCACTGCCAAGCGCTCCTGCGACGCATTCCCATCCGCTGCGTCCGCCTCCCCACCGCAGCACCTCGTTCTTGTACCGCTCGCCCGCCGCCCGGTCGACCGCCTGCCGGCCCGCCCCGAACACATCGACCCAGAGTTTGTTGGCGATCGCCCGGTCGAAGATGTAGCTGTAGTACGTGGCCCCGTAGCCGTAGAGATGCCCGAAGAACCCTTGCCAGGACGTCGGCGGCGTCACATCCGCGGGCTCCGGCAGGCTCGAGTGCTGCTGCGAGACCTGCTGGTAGAGGGCTGTGCTGTCGATGCGGCCGCCGTCCGCTGGCCGCGAGTGGTACGCCTGGTCGACCAGCGCCATCAGGATCTGCGCCTCGTTCTCGACCGCTCCGTAGATCGACCCGTGTGCCGTGCGGTCGCGCTCCATGCTCCGAATCATCCCCTCCGACAGCGGCTCGTCCGTCCGCCAGTGCCGTGCGTACAGCGCCAGCACCGACGGCGCCGTCGCGAAGTGCTCCATCAGCACTGATGGCAGTTCCGCAAAGTCTGTGGCGCACCGCGTCCCCGAAATCGATTGCAGCCGTGTCTGGCCCAGGATCGAGTGCACCGCGTGGCCCATCTCGTGGAACAGCGTGCGCACACTGTGCTCGCTCAGCAGCGACGGACGGCCCCCGCCGTTCGTCCCGGGCTCCGAGAAATCGCACACCAGCGCGATCGTCGGCAGCTGCCGCAGCGTCTTGGTAACCGGGTCCACCGCCGTCGCCATCCCGTCGTTCGGGTGCGACGACTGGTCCAGCGAGGCGCACTCGGCTACTTCCTCCGTTGAGATCTCGCGCGAGCAGCGCAATGTAAAGTGTGCCGGGTTCGGGTGCTTGTTGGGTCGCGAGAATAGATCGCAGTAGATGACCGCAATGTGTCGGCCCGACTCGTCCACCACATCCAGCCGGCGTACGTCCGGGTTCCACGTCTCCCCCGGAGCGGGCTCCTGGGGCACCAGCCGCACGCCGTACAGCCGGTCAAACAGTCGCGACAGACCCTGCATGACGGTTCCCAGCGAGAAAAACTCGGGAACCGCACTCAGCTCGCGGGACCGTCGCGCCTGCGAATATTGCATCACTCGTTGGTGGACGTAATACGCGTGATCCCAGGGCTGCAGCGGGGCGCCCTTCATGGCTTGCAGCTGCGACAGTTCCTCCCGGACCAGCTTCCGATTGCTATCCACGAGAGCCGTCAAAAAATTCGAGACCGCCTCGGGACTCTTGGCCATCTTGTCGCTGAGGGTCATGTGCGCGAAACTCTCATAGCCTGACAGCTTCGCCAGCTCCGCTCGTTTGAGGAGCAACTCCTCCAGCCGATGGAGCTGTCGCTTGCTCGACGTTCGGCTGGCTAGATAAACCTCCCTACGCACGTTCTCGTCATGCACCGATCGCAACGCCAGCCGCGGGATCATTCCCGTCGTCGGGACCGCCGCTGTCCGATTCCACCGCTTGATCTGCTGCACCAGGATCGGATCTAATCCCCGCAGATTGTTGGTAGCAACACTGACGTGCGACTTGGCCGGCTCGGCACCATTGACGAAACTCGAGCCCAGCTGGCTGATATCGTTGGACAGGTTCACAAACCGCTGTCGTTCATGCGGCGGCATATGGATCGCCGAATTGGAGAAATCCTTGATCAGAATCTGCGCCACGATCTTCTCCTCGTCTGACCACTGCGATGTCACCTCGGGGTTCGCCGCCGCCTTTTTCAGCTGGTCGTTGAGCCCCGTCGTCGTGTTGAGCACATTCATGTACTCGAACATGAGCGCGTACGCCTGCGTCGCCGCCTCCTGCACCTGTGGGTCGGGATGGATCACCCGGATGAAATCAGATAGATCAATCACGCGACACAGCAGGTCGCTCAGCCGGTCCAGATCCCGCGCCATCGTCCGGTATTCTTCGAGGGTCGAAGCCGCCAGCACCTTGGACACGATCGCCTGGCATTTCTGCAGCGATACGTTGGCGAACGTCCGGAAGCCATCCGGACTCGTCAGGTATTGGTTCTGGACTAATCCCGTCGGTTTGGGCTGGGCCGACCGCTGCTGCGAGAACTCGCGCCAGAACTGCTGGGAGTCGAACACTCGGCGAAGCGTATCATCGTCGACGGTTTTTGTCCGTGAGTAATCCGCCGGAAGAGAATCTAGCTGTCGAGGGAACGGTGATGCTGCCGTCTCAAAGGAGCGGCGAGTCTGGTGCTGGGGTAGTAGCTGTAGGCGTTGTAGGCACTTTCGGCATGTCCATGGCCTACGCCGTAGAGGCACCAGGAGTTGGTCTTTCATGGCGAGTAGACCAGGCAGAAATCCTGTATATTATCATCGATAGACGATTATCAAATCATTCACAGAAGCGAAACCTGTCAAGTAGACATGACTGAGGAGAAAGATGTGGACAAGCAGCGGACGATGACGGAGAGGATCGGGCCAGCCGAACAGCCGCGAAAAGAAAAAGGCTTGGCAGCTCCAACGTCAACCTCGATACTTCTTGTTCACCATCACCACCACTCGCTTTCTCTCCTTGTACTCCCCCCCACCATTGGCATTGATTGACCTCTTTCCGTCAGGATGTCATTCCGGCCAATGTTCCAGCAGGTGAGTGCCCTTTTCCCGTTTCTCTCTTGCTACTTGCTAACTCGTCCAGCGAGCTGTTGCTCCAATCGCAGCCACCCTTCTGGCTGGAGGCGTAGCCCTGTATCCCAGGCGGACTGCATACGCCGAAGAGTCTCTGGACAACGTATGTTCCTGGCTGTTCCGATACCAGAGACGCTTGCAGATCTTCGACATGACTAACATCTACAGAAAAAACCCATCTATGATGACTTCCCAGCCGACATCCCCGAACCCACCAGGGCCCCCATCGAGCTCCCTCCCACCCGCAGACAAACTCCCCCTTCCTCCTCCTCGCCTACCCCGAGCGACATTCTGACGGCCCAAGTCCGCCAGGCCCGTCTCTTCCTCTACAACCACTCCCTCGCCGCCGAGAACAGCTTCAACGACTTCCTCTCCCGCGCCCTGCACATCGAGAACGCCTTCACCAACACCGTCGCCTCGCTGGCCCCCTCGCCCGAATCCGGCGAGCGCCTCCTCCCCGGCGGCGTCTACGTCGTCGTCGCCGCCATGGCCGGCTCCATCGTCTCCCGGAACCGCGGCATCTTCCTCCGCTCGCTCTCGCCGCTGGCCTTTGGTACCGTCGCCGCTTGGACCTTGCTTCCGGTGACGATGCGCAATGTCTCCGACCTGGTGTGGGAGTATGAGAAGAAGGTACCTGTCGTGGCTGAGCAGCATCTGGCTCTCCGTGAGAGGGCGGAGTACCTGTGGCACACGGGTGTGGCGCACAGCGGCATGGCCCGGCAGATGATGGAGGAGAAGATCGGAGAGACGAGGAAGAAGCTGGAGGAGTTGGTGAGCAAGGGACATTAACCTCTGTACTTTATTGTTTCTCCTTGGCAACGATCAGCTTGCCTGTGCTGTATACGGGCTGAGGGCGCTTACAACCCTCATTGCATTGTACTCTTAGCCGTCTCTAGATCTGAAAGATTCGCGGTTCTGTTTTCTGTCATTGCAGAGATCTTGTACTACTGCACAATTCTAAATATGATATAATTGACCGCTAACCCTCTTGACCCTCGGCCGGCGCCGGACTACCAACAGGAGGCGACGCGACTCCGGCCTTGGGCGGCGGAGGCAAGGGAGTCCCTTTCCGGGACGGGATATAATCCTGCTCCTTGCTCTTCTGCTCCCCCTCGGCAAAGTACTCATCGAACGCCAGGCTGGGCGAGACGCCCATATGACGTGTTCGGCCGCCTCGCCGCGTTGCAGGGGACCGGTTATTCGACGGCGACGGCGACGACAAGACCCTGTTCGGAGCAGATAACGGCGGAGGCGAGGCCATGTTCGCTGGGACTAAGAAGCTTCCCGCACCGGTGTCCGCGGTCTGGCTAGCATCCATCGCATGTGCCATCGGCGCAGAGGTGCCGTCCTCTCTCGTCTCGAAGACGACCTCACCGGGGCCCTCGACCTCCTCGCCTAGCCCGACAGGTAACCGGTGCAGGGCCCCGTAGCCTAGTTCCGCGCCGAGCGCGCCTTCGCCGCCCCAGCCCCGAGTCGGGACCAGCTCCACCTCTCTTACCACGTCGAACTCGCTATTGTATACCCAGAGCACCAGGGTCCGGTTCAGATGGTCTTCCACCAACTCTCCTAGTGCCGCATCGCCTCGTAA